CAAGTAGGTGGACAGCCGGCCGACAGTTTCTTGGAAAAATTGATGCAGGATGATATCGTGATAGATACAGAAAAGAAAATTGAGAATTTGATCGCTCGAAACGTGACATTGGCGTCTCTTTACGGTCAGAATTTCGACAACTTTGCCGAAAGTGTTCTCACGAAGTCGACGGCCCAAGTGGTACCAGGACACTTCTCGACTCGCGATGTCACTTCCGATAACATCACGACGAACTTCTTCAACAGACAGAACGTTTCGCAGCTAATGTGGGTGGATGAACCTCTGGTATTCGCAGGCAATGTGACATTCACCGACTTGATTGTCGAAGGTGACGTGATTACCTCTTTTTTGAACGGACAGCAAGCGAACAAGGTAAGGATAAAGGATTATATCTTATATCTCATTCTGATTTGCACCAACTGTTTAACTAATTACGAACTAACACTTCATCACCATCAGTGACTAGCTTATAGCTTTTGAAAATACACAGGAATTGTGAACAAAGAATCTAAAATTACTAATTATCTAAAGCCAATTGAAATTACTTTTAGATATTAAAAGTCGTTATTTAAAATCGCTGGAATTATATTTAAGATATTACAACTGTGTATTATTGTTTGTTTCAAAAATTTCTGAGATACAAAAGATACTTTTTCATCATAAAACAACTCTTTATTTTGCGTTACAGTTATATGACAGTCTGTTGCTGATCTCCGCGAAAGACATCGATTTGCTAAAGGTGAACGGGAGTGTTTTCTGGGACACGCCCTCGTACGGTCCTACTTCCGTATCCTACTTGCTGGAGAAAGCCGTGACCAAGGATGGATACCAAAATATCACGGGAAGTGTAAGCTTCGAAAAGAACGTTAAAGCGTGGGCAGTCACCGGCCCGCTCGATGTCACCGAACTAATTCGAAACATAATATCCGACGCGGTGATCGATTCCGACAAGTCCATCGAAATCAACGGCAGAAAAGTTTTCGAGGACGATTTCGTCGCCCACAATCTGAAAGTGACCGGTGATCTGGGCATTCGCGACGTCAATCACGTGAACATCAACGAATTCAACAACTCGATCGCCAAGAAGCATCGCGAGGACACGATTTCCGGCCCGTTGATCTTCAGCAAAGATGTCAGAATCGAAAAATTGCGTGTCAACAATCCCGATCTCAACACGTCGATCAAGGCGGCGGTGCGCATCGTCGATATTCTGCCGGACAACGTCTTCTTCGAGGATCTCGTGGTGTTGGGTAGCGTGAATCTGATGTATCTGGACGGCATAAATTTCGACAAATTCGTGAAAAACCGCGTTACGCTTAGCGGCAATCACGATGTCTGGTGCGACATGACATTTAGCAAGCTGGTTACGGTAACAGGTGAAATAACAGCTGCAAATGAAATTCTATAATGCGGTCGAATTAAACGAGAATGGCAATTGATTGTCGTTTAAACTACATTTACTTATGGTTGTGATTAGTTCAGTCGCGTATATACTTTGCTGCTTCTAGTTTTAGTTTACGATGTGAGAAATGTGGATTTTAATGATTTGGAATATTAAGTATTTGTCAAATTAATTTCTCAAAATTATGATTGAAGAGATTCTATATTCTGAACGTGAAAATTTGAAGAACACACGGAAAGATTTATCTTTTGCTCCGCGATATTTCACAGGTAAGGCGAAAATGAGTCTAATCAATGGGATTGATCCGTGTAATATCGTTCTCAATGAGGATGTCGAGATGCAGGTTATAAGCGGCACGAAAACCTTCGAACAGGATTTAATAGTTCGAGGAAACGTTGATGTGATACGAATCAACGATAAGGATATAACGGAGGAATATAATCAGGGTGTATTAAACTTCGAAGATATCGACATTCGTGGAAATCTCGTAAGTACGATGTCACAAGGAGTTTTTACCGTTGTAAACGTGCAGAGCTCAAAGATTTCGGAATCAAAAATATTGTCGCGGCCAAGTGAGAACCATAATAACTTTTCTCAATTATCTTTTCTCGCCAGATTTTTAAGGCAGATGTTCGAATCCAGACAATGGAAAATTTCGGATTGGTAAACGACATAGCTATGCATTCTGTTATTGACGATATTAAAGAGAAGACTAACGCGACTCTTCATAGCCTGAAGGAGAACGAGAGCAATATCATGCGGGACATCGCTTACAGTTTTCAAGTATACGAGTCGTTGCGCAATGTTTTCTTCTACCTGGAGGTTGAAGAGAATCCGATGGTATTCGCATTCAACGTAACCCACGTCGACGTGCTGTACCTCGAAGACACGACCAAGCTGAACATGAACGTCAAGCAGCCCGGAAGCTACTGTGGATTGCCGGATGATTGCGCGTGCGTCAAGCAGCTGATGATCGAGCTGTCAGATGAGCCTAATCGAATACAAGAAAGGAAGCTCGGCGAGATTGCGAAATACTTTTACTATCCGGGCGGCACCGTCGTCAACGTGGTGACGGATACCGTTTCCAGCAGCAAGCAGTGCACCTCGACGAGAGCCGAAGAGGAATTCATTACGGTTTTCTTGAGGAAGTCTGAAAACGACAACTCGAGAGAGATCGTGCTTTCCGTCGATGTGTCCGACGAGGTGGGAGGATACTGGAGAGACGCCAAAATTTTTATACACGACGGTACGTTTGAGACGTCATACAAACCATTTAAATCATAAAAGCATTGTAAAAATCATTTAATGTCATTTGTTAATGTCTAAATCGGAGACTTAGAGGGAGAATATTGATGTGATGATTGATCCACAGAGGATATATACGTAATCCTGGCGGTATACTATAACAGGACACAAGAAACACACCGCACGAATTCCTTGCTTTACAAAGTGGACGTGATGGAGGGAAAAGTGAGGTTGATTCAAAAGATCCCTACGAACGGCGCTTGGTCCGTCGAGATCTTCAAGATCGATCAGACCGAAGTGTTTCTTCTCGTCGGCTGCTTCGGCGACTCCTCGGAGTCCTTACTGTACAAATTCGACTCGGTTACGCAACAGGTATCGAGACTCGCCCGGACAATCGAAATAAGATAGATATAGAGAAAGAAAACAAGTTGTCACACATTTCCAAAATCTAATTTTTATTCTTGTAATAAGAGTTTTATCCTTGTAAGAGTTGACTTCTCCACACTGATCAAGTTTTTTTTTCTTACGAGATTGGAATTTAATTTATCTATTGAGAAACTAACGTTTTCCTCGTACAAAATTAAATGTTATATCGATTTTATTTTTATCTGCAATGCAGATCCAACAAATTAGGACATTCGCAAGCAGAAGTCGTCACGTGAAGAGTCTGTCGCAAGGGAAGGATCACTTTGTCCTGCTGGACAATCCTGACACGAACGCTGTGGACATTTACAAATACGACTCTGTGTCACGCAATTTTTATAGTTACCAGAGTATATTCCACGACCGCCGAGTTAACGGGATCGAGTTATTTTCCGTCGACGGTAATCAATATCTCGTGTGAAAAATCAATGAAATTAATATCGCGTGATTTTGTCTCGTAATTTTGAATGATCTTAATTTACAATTTATAATGTACTACGATGACTATTGCCATTTTATCTACGATTTGCCTATGATTGATATATAATCATTGATTAATTTGTAAATTAAAAATTTATTTTTCCGCTACTTTTGCAGATTATGGCGACAGCGACGTGTTTGTGATCGTCACAACTGAGAGTGGACGGTTTCACATCTACGAGTACATGTTTGCCGGGGTAAGATCGCAATTGGTCAAGCCGATGAGACAGTCGATCGTTTCGCAGTCGTGAGATAATTTATTGTAATTGTTCTTAGAAATTCCAAATGAGGATGCAACACGTCGTGGATGGCTTACAAACGATGACGCCGTTCTACTACATGAATCGTCAATATATCTTTGCCGGTACACACGGTGGCAGTGTGATCTTCCGAATCGTGCAACAGGGTCCGCAGACACAAGAGAGACTATTATGAAAATTCTGGCAACTGTCGTGGATCGAAAATATAAAAATTCATCGTGCCATTCAAACGCTTGCCGATCAAGATTGTGAAATACGGCAGTTTCTTGATCACTACGATTGATTTTTGTTCTCTGCTTCTATTATTGTATGTTTGTATCATTATTTTCTCATTAATGCAGTGTGCAGTTGCTAGTTACACGTTATTATTTATTAGGCTGCATGAATGATATTAGTGGAGCTGTCCGCGCGAGCAAATTGTACATTGTGAAAAATTGCGATATTTGTAAAATACATCGTTGTGAAGATTATTACATTAATAAGAAGATTATTACATAAGATATCACATTGTAATTGAGGTAAAAATACCAATTTTCCCGGATATGTTCCTCATCCCACACAGCAGAAATATTCAAAATATATGAGGATATTCTAGAGATATTGGATATTCTTAGGACATCTCAATAATATATTTTGAACATTCTGCTGTGTGGAGTATTCTCGAACATTCTTATTGTTTTGTTCTTTAAACGCGAATATTTAAACATAGAACATACATGTATATATTCAATACTCAGATAAAGTAGAAACTTCTAAAAGACGTCCAATAGACATCTTTTATCTCGGATCCTTGCCGTAAGACGTAAGCGAGTTGACCGATCACAGTCAATTATTCGCGGAATTTGTCATTGTTTTTTCCTCAAATTATAAAAACAAACATATGATTTAGCTGTCTTATCAATTAACTTATCAAGAAGTTGGAACAATTGGCCCCAAGACAGACATATGATTTAACTGTTAGTTAGTTCATCAGAAGTTTGGAAAAATCGACTACATATTACATACAATTTTCTATCGCAAATTCAATAGACGCGGGCTCGAAGGAGTGCGGCAATTCTCAGCCGCGCACGCGCTCCGAGGCGATTTGAAAACACCATTGCTGGACGTGGTGAAGGACACTCGGGAATTATGAAAAAACGGGCGAACAATGACGCAACCCGCACGTCCGCGCATTTTCCAGAGACTCGTCGATATCTGCTCCTCGTCGCAGCCGAAGTTTCACCGCAGGAGCGCGGCATAAAGTTCAAGCGCGGAGCTGTTCGTCCGTCCGTTTGTCGCGTCGCGAACCAAACAACGCGCTCGTTATCGCGTCACACATCATTAAACGCGTGCGAGTCTCGGCCACTCTCGAGAGAGAATCGAAGCGTTTTGTCCGCCGATCGCGAACGCGCGAGTTTCACTTCAGTGCTCGACACTGACGTGCGCGTGAAATTCCGCACACACGGCGGAAGCCATTGAAGTTGTTCGCCGTTTGCCGCCGGTGGTGCGCGAACTGCACCGAAGTCGTGACTTCCATTCGAAGTACCTCGAAGTGCTGCGTGCGCGCGCGAGAGAGAGCTGGGGAGGTTCAGTTTCTTTCCTCGCTTCTACTCGCGTTTCTACTGCCGCGACTCGATCGTCGATCGTGGAGAAGGTACGTTCTTCACACACATCTCTCCCCGCGACGTCTAATCGTGCGTGTTACAACGCGTTCGTGTCGTTCGCACTCGCTCACGCGTCAGCTGTCACGAGCGCGACGTCGACCGCGACGAGAATTCGCTTGATAAGCTGTACGAAACACACACGGGATCCTCCCGACGACCACGTCGCGATCCCAGTGCTTGCTCGAGCTTCGTCGACGACATCGCGTCGCGCGCAACAAACACTACTTTGGATTCTCGAAAATGTTCGGGCGACACTTTTTGGTTATGTCGGCCAACGATGAATTAGCGTAAACTGATTAGTTGTTGCCCGCCACGTTTGGGATTTCTCTTGAGACTGGTACCTCTGATGAAGTGTACACGAGTGAAAAATATCATTTTACTGCTGAAACAAGCGATCATTCAGTTCACTTTCCTTCATTGAAGTAAAGGTTGTCTTCAGCAAAGAATATTTTCCTGATAATAGTCAAGTATATTCATTCAAGCTTTCAGGAAAGCTCTTTATCATGTATTCAAGAGAAGAATGTGTATTTTCTTTATATTTTATACAAGGATATCATGAAACTTTAGCCAGAGAAAAGTTTGTTTTGATACATATGCAAGGCGAATATTTGTTTTACTTTCGTATTTCTGATTGAAGTGCTAAACTCACTAGAATTCAGAGTATATCTTGAATAAATTTTATGCTCGTGATAAGCTTATGGTAGATTTGTAATGTGTAAACTTCTAAAATACTCGGAGCAAGTAACATTTATTCGAATGCATTTTTCTGTGTGTACATTAAGATATTCTTTTTCTATATTACTATAGTGACTCATGATATAGTCACACAAACTGTATATATATAGTACGAGATGATACATTTGACAACTATATCTTTGCAGCAATACAGTATTTCTTACTGAGCACTAATGGCTGTCAAAGGGCTAGTCGCAGCAATCGTTCAGTTCCTGACCGATCAGCTGCAGAATGGAGATATGACAGCAGATTCGCGTGAAAGTCTGGAAGTGGCGATCCAATGTCTAGAAAGTGCTTACAATGTGCAAGCCTCTGATACTCCCAACAATTTCAATCTCTACAATGTTTATAAGAATACGGTGGAGAATGTTGAGCTAGGTCCAGAGGCTACATCAGAAGCCAAGGCTGAAGCGGAGAGATTGAAGAACGAAGGCAACGCACTGATGAAGGCAGAAAAGCACCAGGAAGCACTCGCTAACTATACAAAGTATTTGTATAACTTGTATAATGTTCATATGTAAATTCTGATCTGAATCTCTAAAGTCTAAAAGAAGTAACTGATAGTTCCACCTTTAAAGTTCCTGGTTCCATTGCTGCGGAACTCTGACTCAATAACGTCAGAAGGGAGTAAACATATGATAAAAATTTTTGCGTGCTATTTTCAAATAAGAAGATATTTGTATGGGAGAACACTTCAGATTGCTTGAGCACACAAAGCATAGTTTCTGGAGCATTTTACTTGAAAAATGAGCATGCAGGAATCTTTGATATGTGTTCTCTCGCTTCTCATGTCATCGATCTAGGGTTTTGCAGCAGTAGAATCAAGAGACTTAATCAATTCTTTTCTTCCAGAGCGATAGAGCTGGATGGTCGCAACGCGGTGTATTACTGTAACAGAGCTGCTGTTCATAGTAAACTCGGTAATCACACCTTAGCCATCAAGGACTGTCACACGGCGCTCGCCATTGACCCGTCATATAGCAAGGCGTATGGGCGGTTAGGTTTAGCATACTCCGGCTTGGACAAGCACAAAGAGGCCAAGGAGAGCTACGAGAAGGCCCTGGCGATGGAGCCGGATAACGAGAGTTATCGGAATAATTTGCAATTGACAGAAGAGAAACTGGCCCACTTAGGTGTTAACCAAGCTCTGGTGGGCGGTCTACCCGGCATGGACTTGAGCGCCCTTCTGAGCAACCAAGCCTTGATGAATATGGCTCGTCAGATGTTATCCGACCCAGCTATGCAGAATATGATGTGCAATCTCATGGCAGGCAACGTGGAGGAAGGCGGTCGCATGGGAGCGCTCATAGAAGTGTAAGTTTCAGATTCTTTTTTTTCCCCCGATAAGACAGAAGTGCTAGTTCGGGCCTTTCAATTTGTCATAAAGATATCACGTTCATGTGTGCAATAAACGTGATATCTTTACGAGCGAAATACGCAAACGCGAGCTTGACGTGTCTCTTCATCACACGTTCGTGAATGTTTCAGAGGTCAACAGTTGGCGCAGCAAATGCAGAACGCGAATCCCGAGTTGATCGAGTCGCTGAGACGGCAAATGGGCGGCAATCCGAATGATCCGGACCCGTCGCAGCAGAATTAAAAGAGCATACATCTGACTGTCTGTGATAGGTGGATTTAACTACGGCTGACTCTCCTTCTCGCTCGTGTAGCTACGAGACGATGTGTCGCATTGTCGTTTTCTAAGAGGCGCCACAAACGAGGCGAGACTTATGGCTTCAATGATCTTTCAGACATCTGACGTCATTTTATTTTGACATGGTATTTTGGACGCCGCTGTAACGCGCCCAATATCATAGAGAGTTCGTTTATCATAGATTAGTCACTGATTACACACGCGAGAATTATGTCTTTTGGGCCTCCGACTGTGCGATATTTGGAAGGCAGACGTGCGAACGAATTTGAACGGACAGTGGAAATGTTTTTTTATCTTTTTTTTTTCTAAATGCGCCGCAACGATCTGTACATGTAGCAATGCGACATGCGGCTTAACGTAACACGATATCCTTAGGGCATTCTTTTTCTTTTTTAGCTTGAATGTCCGAATGCTGCGTCGCGTATACGAGACACATGTAACGTAATTACTCAAGTTGTTTTCCTCCCGTTAATACGTAACGACGTTTTACATCGACATCATTTATACATACATATATCGAGAGTGTATTGGACCACCAATGACATTTTATCGTTTGTTAAAATCCAAATGTGAATGGCTGGCGATTCGAGAATTCGATTCGCGATAATGAGTGAGCGGAGCTGCACCGAATACATCATCGGCAACGTACCCTATAAATGGACTGTAATGTAGAAAACAATTTCTTGTCGAGAATTGCCTTTTATAAGCGCGTGATCGAATTGCATATTCGTTGAAGTTTCGCATGGGAACTTTCGCATATTAGCTCTAAACAGAGTGTATGCCCAGTTCCTCAATGCGTCACTTGTCGAGGATTGAGCGATATGCTGACTCTTGGAGAATAAATTGCATCGAGAGCACTCGAGATTCTCTTATTTCTCTTCACATTATTTCGTCGTATTTGATTTTTTCGCTTCTTCCACAGTTGGAGGAACTGAGGAGATACTGTGCGCTTTGAAGGATCAACGAATAATGCGGAAGAAGCAAGAGTCCAGGCTACGAGAAGGCGGGAAATCTCTGATGGCCGAACTGTCTCTCTCTCTCTCTCTCTCTCTCTCTCTCTCTCTCTCTCTCGCAGCAGCTCTCGAATTTCTTCGTTTGTGATTTTCAACGCACGTGTCCGATTAGACCGCGCAAACGGCGGAGACGCGACGGTAACGAGACGGTCATGCTCGCGCGGTACACTTTCTACTCGCTGCTCCACGCTAGAAAGTCCCCGCGATCTTAATTCATCGCGCGCGCAGCACGGCGCGCTTTATCATCGGCGTTAACCCCGTAACGTTCGGCGAACGCATTCGCCACGCGTTGATAATCAACGGATACAGTTTCTCTCCGCGAGTAGGATGCGCGGCGATACGTAAATTCCATTAGCGGCCGCGTTCTCCGTATTCCTCGGGATCGCATCCGCGAGCGGAGGCTCGCCAATTCCACGTGCGTCATATAGTGACATCATTCTTATTTGGCACGTACTTACGTACACACACACACACACACACGTACCTATCGCACTTGACACACGCACAAGTGCGTGAGGGTCAATCGTCGCAACGTGGACATCCTGCCGGTTGTTTTTGCGATCAGCGTCTGCTCGAACGTGTTGTCTATGACTCAAAGCGGACCGCTTCCTCTGATCAGCTTATCGCCGACGTCGAGAGCGCGACGTAATTCTGCGGGAAGCAAAGGAACGGGAATCGAGCGGGAGGACATGGGAGTAGCTCGTTCGCAAAGTCGAATCCTCGATCCATCAGACTTACGGGCGCTTCTTTATTCTCGAGATTTCTCGCTGATTGCATTCTTCGCGAGTCGCGCGAACGTCGTGCCTCGCGTTATCTCCGACTGCTCGTACACAGTACGGTTTCTATTCTTATCTCCGACTTAGCCCCGGAGTGTGCGGGCGGCGTCTTGCTACGCTTTTTCCAATAAACCTCGAGCGCTCGCGCGTATTCGATCTCCTGAAGGGAGCCGACCGGCCACGTTTAGCGCCTCAAGTGTGCAACGAGAAATGCGGACGGATGTCGTCATCGGGACGTCTCGCGGCCTTGAACTCCCCTGCATGTCGTAAAAAAAGGCAAGAAGAAGCAGAAGAGAGAAGCGTAACTCAAGCCTCGTCTATTTTGCGCGCAATCGGAGAAATTTCTGACGTCGGTGCTTATTTTATCCCGGCCGATAAGCCGGTTAATGACATTCCACGTGCGCACACGCACACGCGGCCACGCGTGCATGCCTCGCACCGAGGTGTGAAATTAGCCCGAGAGAGACGCAACGGGAGGGAGGGAGAGAGAAAGAGAAAGATACTCCGCGTTGCACGCGCAAACATAAACAGGATGTTTAATATCATTTGCGCACATTGTACTTATCCTTGCGATCGTCATATAGTTATTACATACTTTCGAAATATCAAGATGTTAGAATGCAAAACGATAGGTTTCTTTGCGCTCAGAGCCTTCCACAAATTCAAGTTTTCGATACGTACTTAATATCCCAGATAGCCAAATCAACAGAAGCAGATTCTACGCAGTGTCTGCAGCAGATTCTGTCAGCAACTTGCTGGTAGATATACAACAGTATCTGACGACAGAGTGCGATGACAGACTGACGGCGGAGATCGAGCAGGATCTCTGATGTTTTTAAATAGAAATACTGTAGAGATTCTGCTCGCTTTCTGCCGCCAATCCGCTGTCAGATTCTGTCAGCAGGCTCTGTCGATAGATTGCGGACACAGATGATTATGAATCTGTCGTCAGTTTGTCGTTGGACTACCAACAGATTGCTTACCGAGTATCCCAAGTTACAACGAACAATGACTCAATTTTCATGATCACTTAAGTTCGATTTCCAATTTAGATTTAAACTCAAACCTTCGAATATCTCACATTGTTGATACAGAGTTCATCCTTAAAGTTTAAACTGCTGGCTTGAAAAATTGGCTCTGGAGATTAATCTCTTCGCGTGAGAAATTATTCGCTGCCAACGTGCTGCTTGCGCAGCTCTTATTGGCCAAAATGAATTCTTGGCGATTGAGCATCCGAGCGCTTCAACGCAAGTTTCATTTAAGCTTGATTCCATCAATGTTTTTAAACGTCGAATAAACCCTAACTTGAGTTTACGTCTTTGTCTGAAGACAGTTCGAGCTCAGGTTAAGACACAATCTACGTTGGTGAAATCGACCATTAGTGAATATTTTGAACTCTCAGCGTATGAAGCCATCGTTTGGAGCAAACGCGCTCCAAACGGAGCTCCAAGGGCCTTACGGCGGGAGGAAACGCCGAGTATTTCCGAACGACCGGACGTAACATTTCCAGGTAACGCGAACGTCCCTCCTGAAATCGTGGGCAGATGTTATGCTCGGCGCGGATAGGCGGTCGCGATGTGCGTGTGCACGGCACGGTGAAATCGACGGCGGTTATTTACATATTTTCCAACCCTTTCCGTCATCCACCCACAAGCAACGACAACAGCGACGGTGGCGGCGGCGGCGGCAGCTGCACGAGCGAGAAGCGCGATGCGTGCGCAAAGCTCCTCCACAGGTCCATCCGGTGACGTGCGCGCCGCGGGGCGCACGTGATTCGTCGCTTTCGGAGCGTATCGCAGGGCCGGCGCGCGCGGGCGCGGGCGCCGCGCGGCAAATTTCCAATCGATCCGATTAGCGGGATACGCGTGCAGCCGCGCCTCTCTCTTTCTCTCTCTCTTTCTCTCTCTCTGTCTCTCTGTCTCGCGATCGATGCTGCGGTTACGGCTTTGCCGCCTCGCCCGAGAGACATTTACGAGATAATTCCCGTGGCCGTGGTGGATGACACACGGCCCAGTGTGTGTTATACGCCGCGTCGACCTATGCTGTCTTTCTCTTTTTCGCCTAGCCTGCCTCCGCTCGGGCGACTGCACCTTGTTTACTCTCCCGCGACTCTTCTCTCACTCTCTCTCCGACGTCGCGGCATTCGCTCGCTCCGTTCCGAGTGCAGAGAGTGCAGAACAATGCGGCTAATACAAAAACGGATGCGGCATTTGCTGAGATTTGACTATGCGAAAGCAGTCATTTCTCTCTTGCGACGCGTAGTCAAGTCTGTAAGCGAACGTGAGGGCGAGGACTATTTGATCGAGTTGGTCGATTGTTGTTGTCACTACGTGTCAAGACGGTTGCGTTATCGTAAGAAATTACATTGGCAATGGTTCATTACAAAGTCAATATCCGATGTTTACCGGCCTGACGAATTTACAAAGCGCAGACCGGCCGATGACGAAGTCGCGATCCTACGAAGGTCGGATTGCCATCGCTAGTCTCGCACGATGACAAGCCGAATCTTCGTAAGAATGCGCACGAGAAGACCACAGGGCTCTCGCCTGGAGTCCTTCGGCGGGCAACTGCGCGAAAGGATCCAAACATCGATTAAACATCAATCTTTCTTGACGTCGAGACTTCGCAGCTCGTTCGCCGGCCGGCGTAAGGCTGACTTTCGCGTGGCCGGCTCGCGGAAACTCGACCTTTGCGGAGACAGGCGTCCCGGCGTGGGGCAGCCGCGCGCTCGCTCGGGTGTGCTCGACGGCGCTCGGGGGCGCTCGTGCGCGCTCGGCACGTCCCTGAGATGGCCGAGCCGCCGCCGGCCGCCCCACCACCGTAGCCGATCGCCGCACACTCAACAGATCGAGGTGTGGCCATTGAGGGCAGCCATTTTCTTGACTTTCTGTCGCTTAAGAATTCAGGTAAATACGCAATTATTCTTTAACTTACTGCCGGCCAGAGTGATACGAGGGTGCGTGGTGCGCCGTGCGTGCGGGCGTCGCGAGCGTGATCGAGCGCGTTAGAGATCCCGTCGGGACATCGGGCCGGGTGTCCGGTACTAAAAGAGGGAAAAAGGAGCCTCCTCCTCCGTCAGCCGAGTGAGAGTGAGGGAGAGAGAGGGAGAAAGAGAGAGAGAGAGAGAGAGAAAGAGACGAGGCAGATAGGTAGATAGAAGAGGAGAGAGAGAAAGAGAGAGAGACAGCGAGAAAGAGAGTCGCGCGAGGAGGCCCCGAAGGAGTGCCATGCGTCGCGAATCTCGTCGTTCGCTCGGCATCATCGCAGCACGCCGAGGTGTGTTCTAAGCTCGGTTGTCTTGCACTCGTGTCGTTCGTGCGCGCGTTCGTGCCTACGTTTATGTCCACGTCGTCGCCTTCGACCTGTTCGTCGCCGCTGTCGTCGTCGTCGTCGTCGTCGTCACCAACGTCACTGTCGCGAAGCTGAACGATCCGCACGACGGATTTCTTGGAATGCTCTCGGGCTCTACCTGACACTGCGTGGCCGTTTAGTGCAGTAAGTAAACCACCTCTCATCCAGGGCCGTCGCTCTCCTCCTCGGTGACGTCCCCGCGCGTTCCTGAGTCATTCTCGCGTTCCTGTTCTCGCACCACGTACTCTCGGCCGTTCTACCTATACGCAATTCTACCCCCCCCCCCCCCCGGGCCCC